AGCTAACATCAGAGGCCATTTTAATATAGGTTCTTCAATCTTCACAGAATGTGTTCCTTTATCCTCAACACCTCTTGTCCTCAAAACTCAGCATGACATGATCTATTTTCATTCCCTTTCCTTCTATCAAATACTTGCAAACATGTTAATGCCAAGAGGCAGCCGGCAGGTGAGATCAGGAATTCCCTGATTTGGTCAGGTCACCTGGCTCAACTGATTGTGGGTTCTTATGCTTGAGACGGATTAAAAAATTGAAACCTATTTAGGTACCACAATAAAGAAAACAAAATTGTTAAAGGGGTAATTTGCATTTGGATGTATGGATGAGATTGTTCTATTCATCACTTCCCATTGGAGTTTCTCCTGGTTCCCTGGTCTCCAGGTGTCACTATTGAGCTAACAGCCCAAAATCCACAGTTACCTGGGGGGCACTGGTGCTTTCCCTTCCTGTTCCTCATGATCCTTTTGATTTCCTGTAAAGAAATTCAGAAGAGCAGGTCACAGTTAGCAAATCACACTTCACACAAGACCAAATCAGTCTCCAGTCATAACACAGTAACATATATATCCTCCACTTAAGAATGTGTTATTCTGACAGGAAGGTTCTAATGCACTCTAGATCAAATCTTTTCAGAAGTAGACGAGCCTGCTTTCCAGGCCCATGGGACAAAATCACCCTCATCTGATACATCTTAATCACATATCCTGTGACCTACGTCTGCGCAAACAAACAAACTTTTCCCCCATGATCTTCAAAAATGGCCCTAACTATTCTTCAGAAGTGTTGCTGCAATACTGATTTATCTCATCATATATCCTGATTGATCAATTGTTAGAGAATCTTATATTTCTCCTGTCATCAAGGCGACTGCCTAGCTAAGAGAAGCTGACTCAAAGGAGACTAAGACAAGCTGAGAAGAATGAAAGCAGGAAAACAACATCGTTAAATATGTAGGCAAGGCTGTCTGTGACAGTGGCCTTGGGTGAGAATAGAAAATCCATGGACATTATGAAGGGGCACAAATTACATCATTAGAGGTGACAAGAGACATAGGAACTGAGCTAGGCGGCATGACAGATACCTCCTGTGCACCTTCTGTACACAGGTCACTATGAATTTGTCCCACCTGCCTATGGTCCACTCACCTGATATTGGGGCCAGGGAGAAGTGGAAAGCTATCTTACCCTCTTATATCTATATTAAATATTCCATCCTAGTCCTCCCTCCTTCCCTCCCTCCCTCATTCCCTCCCTGCTTTTCTCCTTCACTTCCTTCCTTCCCTCCCCCTCCTGACCAATGGACTTCCTTCCTTCCTTCCTTCCTTCCTTCCTTCCTTCTTTCCTTCCTTCCTTCCTTCCTTCCTTCCCTCCTTCCTTCCTTCCTTCCTCCCTCTCTCCCTCCCTCCCTCCCTCCCTCCCTCCCTTCTTTCCTTCCTTCCTTCCTTCCTTCCTTCCTTCCTTCCTTCCTTCCTTC